AAATGTCGAGCACAGTTATTGACTAATGTCTAAGAATGCCCTCAATAGAACAGAAAGATGTGTTCTCGCGAGATTTACCAACAGAATTCAAAATTGTCGAGACAATACGGCCAATATGCCGAATAGTTGAGAAGATTGTCAGCGAGGCACACTGAAAGTCAAATAGATTTTGGGTCCGCGAATAACACTGGTATTTGTGAGAGGGGTTGCTGAGTATCGGTATATCCGAATTCCGAACATTTCGAAACGTTTTGATGAAGACTCGCGCGATGCTAGTGAAGAATACGCGGAATATTTCAGCCACGAATAAGATGAGTGAACCTGTGTGAACTCTTCAAAACAACATACGTAGTAAAGCTATGGCCGGTTTCGCCCGTCTTGAGACTCATCAGGTAGTCGCATTCCCAGAGTTTCCTTCAAACTCATGTTTTACTTGAACTCGACAGAATTTGTCAAATTCTCCCGCTTGTAAACGACTTTGGTTTCGACAGGGGACACAAGAGAACCCCCAATCATGGTGTTCTTCCACTGAATGATCATCTGGAATACAAAGATGATGGCATCTCAGGAAGTGCAGCTAACTGATGAGCCCCAAGAAAGGCGAAACAGGTCGTCAGCTGTCTAAAACGTTTCACCAAGAATATGAGTAGTCCAGTTTATGTAGCCAGTACTGCTGTGCCAATAGTGAGGTATTTGAAGTGGTAACGAACGTCCATGATAAGAGGATCCTGCTGGCAACAGCCATAGATCGTGAATGTGGAGGAAGCGAAACCGATCGAGACTGTTTTAGGAATTTTGAAATCACTCAGACAACATGATAATCCGCCAAAGAAATACAAGTTAGTCCTCCGAACAGGGAAGTGTTTGGGTTCTTTTCGGTTACCTATCATCCGCCATTAGATAAAATCTTATGAAAAAGCTCGAACCAGTAGACGGCCTGCGATTTTCATCGAACGTCCACAGTAACGATTGGTTTTGGGGGTTCCAAAAATATTGGACGATTCTTCCAATCAACAATAATATGTTATGTTTTTCGGACAGATATCACACTCAAGAAGTGTTTTTATGTGTTTGTCCCTGATCAAATCTAAATGGTGTAATTATTTGCAGATTTCCTCCCTTACGGAAACTGTGAAAAAGAGCACAGTACCGGTGTAACGATGATACTACTGATCGGGAGGCACGCGAGTAATATGTGTTGTTCGCAGAAATTCGCTTTGCGTCGGCTGAAAAAGGGAATTATGTTGCGGAATTCGTGGGGCCAGTTCGCAACATTTGCTTGGATTTGACCAACGAAAGAGTGAAGGCAAAGAATCTCTAGGAAGACTCGTTTGGATGAAGATCTGTGTCCAGTTTTTGTAACTAAGATGCAGATTAGAGTTTCGCTTCCCTGTTCAATTGTCTATAACCGGTCAGTTAGCATTTTCGGATAAATAACTCCGCAGGGAAGGTTTTTTTCCTTTCATTTGGTGCCGTGACCAGGTTAAGGATGAAGATCCCATGGCCGCAAGCCTTTGAGGATGGGGATGTTTGGACCTTCCTGGAGGACTTTGAGGGAGTTGCGGAGGCTGCCGGGCTGGAGACCGACCGGGGTAAGTTGGCAGCGCAGAACACCTTCCAGAGGGGGCGGGTGAAGGCGGCCTTGGATCCGGCCAGATGAGGCCCTCCGAAGATGGACTGGGACAGCGCAAAGGAAGTCCTCGCAGCGGAGTTCGACACGCCGGCCGACCGCCAGAAGGCTATGAGGCGGTTCAAGACGGCCAGGATGGCACCCGGATCGGACCCGACTGCGTTCTTCTCCGGCCTGCAGCAGTTGTTGGATCGCGCTTTGCCGACCCTGGACGGAGTGTCGCGACACCAGTTGCTGTCGGATCAGTTCGTCGAAGGTGTGCAGCATGCGCTCGGTGCCCAGTTGCGGTTGGCACGAGCAACTGGCCAATTGAGTGTGGAGGAGATGGTATTTCTGGCCCGGGGGCTGCCCCAGGAACCACTGGCCACGTTGCAGTCGCAGGAGAACGGGGATGGTTCATCAGTGGAGGAAGTGCAGACCAATGTGGACCAACTCACCGAACAGCTGGCGGAATCGCGAAGGCACGCTCGAACCAGCCGGTGCTACATATGTGTCAAGCCTGGCCACTGGAGGATTCAGTGCCCCCGTAACCGATCGCTTGTACACAATAAGACTTTAGAGTACTCCTCCTTTCCTGGGTGGGTCGCGATTAGTGCACTGACACAAGCTACCGTACAAGCCATTGTCGAGGTAGACGGAAAAAGGAGTTATGTTTGATTGATACCGGATATCGATTGAAGATTGACGGACTGTCAACGCACTCGATACGCCTAGGCGACAACTCCGTGCAGCACGCGTTCCTCATCAGCCCAGACGTAGAGCAGACAATATTGGAGGGTGATGTTCTCAAGGGCACAGATGCCGTGATTGACCCAAAGCAGGGAAGGCTGGTGACAACTTATGGCGCAGTCAAGCTTGAAGGTTATCCAGGCACTGTCGTGAGGGAGCTCTGTGTCTGGAAACTTCCGTCTTGTAATGTATCGTCAATACGGGCCGTGGTTGAGGAATATTCCGAACTGCTTACGGGCGATGAGGATCCGTTTGGCTTCTGCCCGTGGATTGAACACGAAATTCCCCTGTCATCAGAACGCTTTCGACCTTATGGTCCCCGTCCGCTGCCGATCCATCTACGGGAGGATGTCCATAGACAGATTCAGGAGATGTTGAAGAACGGTATAATCGAAGAAGCCAAAATTGCGCACAATTCCCCGGTTGTGCTCGTAAGGAAGACGAACGGAATATACAGATTTTGCGTGGTGTTCCGGCGCTTGAATGAATTGACCGTAAATCGGGTTGTGGCTGTGCCTTCGGTTGCAGAGATTTTCGATTCCCTCCAGCATTCCGGGTACTTTACTGTGTTTGACTTGCGTTCCGGATATTGGCAACCACCTGTCAAGGAGGAGGACCGGGAGGAAACGGCGTTTACGGTTGTGGACACCCAATATCAATTTAGACGAATGCCGTTTGGTTTGTCCGGGGCACCATTCACATTCCGGCACTTGATGCTTCGTTTAACGGAGGATCTTTAGAAAGTTGCCGTGTACGGAAACGATATCTTTCTGTACAGCAATTCGGAACCGGAGCACGTAGCTCACTTGAAGACTGTGTTGGAGCATATTCGGGAAGCTGGCCTGCGGATAAGTGAAGCCTTAGACACAACTCGCTCGTAGTTCGGTGACACTGCTGGGGCATAAAGTGAGTGAGGGAGAAGTTAGCCCATTGCCCGAAAAATTAGCAAAGATCAAGGATTGTGCTGTTCCCAGTTCAAAGCAGTCTGTACTGCAGTTTCTTGGACGAGCAGTATACTACAGCCGGTTCGTTAAGAATTTCAACAAGATCACTGCGCCACTGTACGATTTGCTCGGTCAAAATCGGAAATTCGAATGGACCGGAGAAGCATATGAAGCTTTTGAGCGTGTCAAAGAGCGGATGTCGGATCAGCAACTGACCTGCAAACTTCCCAGGGTCGGAGAGATGTTAATTGTTGCAACGGACGTCAGTGATCGCGGTATCGGCGCAGTCCAAAAGCAGAGAGATGGAGTTATCGAATATGCCAGTCGCGTCCTGATTAACGCTGAACAGAAGTACTCCACCATTGAGAAGTAATGTTAAGCGATCGTCTGGGCCCTGGATAAGTGGAGACTATTTCTGCTTGGGCAAAGGTTTCATGTCGAAACCGATCACAAACATCTGGAGTGGATCCGGACCACCAGAGACCCTCGCGTGAAGCTAGCACGCTAGACACTCCGGTTGCATGAGTACGACTTCACAATCCAGCACGTGCCGGGGGAGGAGAACCACTTGACTGATTGGCTATCAAGGCCAGAAGCTGAAGATGAGGTCCCCAAGATCATGATTAGAGCCAATGTCCTCGTCATTGAACTGGATCCCGGAAAGTTGGTGCAAATCCAACGGCGGGATCCGGTGTTACAAAAGGTTGCAGCCACCTTGTTGGATGGAAGGACCGTTGAGAACGGAGAGGGAGACAAGGAATTAGAAGGTTTCCAGGGTCACTTGATCGGCTGACGCTCGATGAAGCTGGCATAAATTCCTGGATCTCCACCGATTCAGATGTTGTGCTGCCCGTGATACCTCGCGTCTTGAGACGGAATCTCATCGTTGTATGCCATGAGATGGCACATTCAGGGTGCACCAAGACACACGACCAACTTCGCCAAAGGATGAGAAGTGACGTGGTGGATTATATGGTGTCCTTTAAGCGTTGTCAACTAATGAAAGCGGATACGACAGGGGCGACACATTCCATGGAACCCATTCCTGTCTCAGAAATAGGCGAGTTGTGGTCAGTTTACTCCATGAGCCCTTTTCCGGTGACAACCAGGGGGAACCAATACATCGTGCCGATGACACAACACCTGTCGCGAGGGATTGAGACGGCAGCCGTGCCGAATCAGCGGGCGACGACAATCAGCGGAGTGGTAATGCATCACATTGTGGCCAACCATGGGGTGCCAAAAATGACCATAACTGATCAGGGGCCTTGCTTCGAGAGCGAAGAGTTTCATAATTGCTTGCAGAAGCTGAGTGTCAGACGGCTAAGGACGGCACCATACCACCCGCAAACAAGTGGCCTGACCTAACGTAATAATCGAACGATCCAGGAGTGGATTGCGGCCGAAGGAGGTGACTGGGAAATTAAAGTGCCAATGGTGTTGTTAGCTCATCGTGCTTCCAGGCAGTCAACCACAGGCAAGTCCCCGTTTATGCTAATGTACGGCCGACATCCGCGCCTTCCGGTTGATCAAAAAATTGAGTTGTGGCCAGCAACGCGCTTGTCTCCGGAGGAGCCGTTCAGGAATGAACCAGGCACAAAACGGCAAGTAGAAAGGTCCGAACGTTCCCTATAGGCACGAAGGTCAAGTGGAAGGATCACCTGAATCCTGGAAGGAGTGGACTGGGTTCGCGGAAGCTAGGCAGTCGATGGCAAGGGACGTTCGTAGTCACCGATCGCTGGGGGAACGTCTATACCATTCAAGATGGTCGGAGGTCGAAAGTAGTGAATGGGACGCAGCTTTGCAAGTGGCAAGATACACCTGAAAAGCGGCCGAATAGACCCGCTGCCGAAGCCGACCTGACGGAAGGAAATGAAAATCGATGGCATGCGAACGAGCTTCAACGGGTGGAGGTGTGTAACGGTGATACTACTGATCTGGAGGCACGCGAGTAATATATGTTGTTTGCGGAAATTCGCTTTGCGTCGGCCGAAAAAGGGAATTCTTTTGCGGAATTCGTGGGGCCAGTTTGTAACATTTGCTTGGATTTGACCAACGAAAGAGTGAAGGCGAAGAATCTCTAGGAAGTCTCGTTTGGATGAAGATCTATGTCCAGTTTTTGTAACTAAGATGCATATTAGAGTTTCGCTTCCCTGTTCAGTGGTCTGTAATCGGTCAGTTGGCAGTTTCGGATAAATAACTTTGCAGCGAAGACCTTCTTCCTTTCACCGGCAGTCCTGATGGTCGAACTCGAATTAGTCACACGGCGCAATAGCTGGGCATCCGTGCCCTTTCAAGCAAAATACTTACAGGTTGAATCGAACGAGTTCTGCACAAAAAGAGCTAGTCTCGTTAACCGAAAAACGGGATATATACCACCCTATAGAAAATGACCATATTGTTAGTCAGAAAGTTTCAAAGCGGTTGTCAAAACATTGAAACCACGATACACACTCAGAGTAAGACAGAGGAATATATATGAACTAATCCGAGTTCATTAGTCACGGGCATCATTTCGGGCTTGTCGTTCTACTGCTTTACCGCACCAGTAATTCCGGCTTTCTGTCGGTTGAACATCGGGAATGTCCGGGAAATGTTCCTCAAAATTATGCGGTTTTGAATAACCCACGCAATGATTCCAGCCTGATTTGCAGCCCATATCATGCTTCAGCATATTCATTAGCAGTTTTAAAATATCTATCTGTCCATCTATTCATCCATCTATCTATCTATCTATCTATCTATCTATCTATCTATCTATCTATCTATCTATCTATCTATCTATCTATCTATCTATCTATCTATCTATCTATCTATCTATCTATCTATCTATCTATCTATCTATCTATCTATCTATCTATCTATCTATCTATCTATCTATCTATCTATCTATCTATCTATCTATCTATCTATCTATCTATCTATCTATCTATCTATCTATCTATCTATCTATCTAGAGATTTGTAGGAAACCACATGAAGTGGTTTCTGGGAGTAACTCTTGTTCCAATCAAAAGATGTTTTTATTGAGAATATTGAGACAGCTCTTAATTGGCAGTGTTCGTCGATATTAACTCGGATGGTAGGTGCTTCTGCAACTGAAGTGACAACTTATTTGACTGTCATGGGAATGTGAAGTGCTCACTCTGATTTCTAAATAACCAGTGGCGTAAGAAACACCTGTTCCAATGGATAATTCAAAATACCGAAAAGTGCGCTGAACACATACTCTATAGCCCCATCGTTGCGGAGCACCAGTAGGTCATAATGACCTTGAAATATTCCAACTGGGAGACATTCCATCGCCTGAAATAAACAATAAGCAGACACCTATCAGTTCATTATCAACAAGAATAGCGTCTTGTTCCATACAAAAGAAGAGCGGCTCATCATGCGACCGTAATTTTACACTCTAATGCACACGCGTTAGTGTTGAAAAATCCGGTTGATCAATGAACGTCAGTGTTTAGCACTGATAGTGCCACTTAAGTTTGTTCGTTCGGGTCCGAGGCACTCATTGCACCATCACGGAAAATCACATCACGTGGCGACAAATTGACCGGCTCCTCGAGTGTCAACCGTCCAGATGGAAGATTTATCACCGTGTAAATCTATTATTCCTCTGAGTTACTTGTAAATGATTCATAAAATTTCCACTTCTTTTTGTACCGTAGCAAACAAACCTATGAATATTTAGGTACCCAAATCCATTGCTTGGTTATCCGGGAAGTGAAACTGGCTAGGCTTGGATATATACATGCCTGGACTGGCAACCTTGCTGAATTCGGTCTATGGAACCTGGAGTTCCTAATCAAGTATTTTCAACATTGACCGTCACATCACCTTGCAAGATCAGAGACAAAAGTGCTTGGGAGGATAGTGAGAAATTTCGGACATACAACGAATGGCTTGATAATTCTGCGGCTAACGGACGGCCGTGATGGCTTAATTGCCATAAATCCTCTTCATGCTCCAAAACAAAATAATAAATTTTCTTGAGAATCAAATGGAATACCACCGGCTGCTGAAAACCACTGGACTACCCATCCACAACGGACAGGCTTATCTGCAACAGTTGTGTTTAAACTTACGTATTCCGAATCTAAAAGCCAGGCATACTAGTAGTCGTCCCCTAGACAAATATCGATTTCCATGTCAAAAAAAATGAAATCCCGCGAAACCGAAATTTCAAGCTCAGGTGTTGTAGAAAGTATTTTTTTATTATAACCCACCCATAGGTCTTTAACCATTTATACTAGGTACCTATTTTTTCTTCAGGGATCCCTAATTATATGCGGTCACAGAGATAAGCAGGTCTCCCTTCTTCAGTAGGCTTAATAGGTGTCAGTGCTCAACGCGTTTAAAATTCTGCATAATCGTCCCTGACGACCTGCCGCCATTCGCCCGCCAATTCAGTTATTCCTGAATATCGCCTTTTCCAACAACTGAGTTTCTCGTTCCTGACCGGAAACACCGCTCATCGCAAAAGTTTACACTACTATTCCTCAACCTACTTCGAAGTATTCTATTATGACACCGCTCTCGTCTTCCTCCTCTAAGCGGTTGCCGGACCCCTAATCCCCATCAACTATCTCCACAGTATATCCAAAGAGGTGGCTCGCAGCCAGAAGACCCAGCTCCCAACCCCCAAATCCATCGACGCCGGCAAAAACTGTACCACAGACAACCACCGATTGTTCAGTAGTCCTAACCGACATATCTTTGCTTCCGCAACCTGGCAGCACTCTCCATTCACAACTACCAGTAGAATCTCAGGTCCTGAAAGACATGGAAAATCTCAGAATCCGTCTACAGAATATGGAAAGTGAAATGTCTTCCTTGCAAACCACACAATCGATTGCGTGTCTCTTAAATCCTGATGCAACATGTGATCCTACAAACTTAGAAAAAGCGTCTATTATAATTGAAACGATTGCGTCAGAGATTTGTCACCGCATCCAATGTCGGCACCAGGTCCACGTATTCAACGCTCCTGATCGAACGCCGCTTGAGCACACCAAAACTGCCAACTTGACAGCACGTGGCATTCTGGATACCATGTGCACTGCTCGGCGGCCCTGAGAGTCGAAACCATCCATGTGCTGCCCGATAATAATGCAATTCCGGGATGAAATAGATGCTGTGCGTCTGCTAACAGCCCGGACTCTTCTCTCATCTACCAAAAAATTCCATACCTTGAAACTTAAAACTGCTCGTACAAGGAGGCAAAGACAGCTTACAAAAAGGTCACCAGAACCTGTTGCATCGTTACACACCAGTACTTGCGCTGATCGGTGCCACAATGCCACACAAAGCTGTCTGTTGGACCTAGGTTCTGTACCCCACGCTCATGTCCATGAGCCCTCCACTCCTATCTCTGAGCATCCGCAAATGTTACCTCCGACCTGCACCACGCCAACGAGATCGACTGCTGGTTTAGGAGATATGGTAACTACTCAGCCCACACATGAGGCTGTGGTGGAGAACGCTAGCACAGCTCCTCACTCTAGACCTCCTGACCTAATGATACTTCGTGTCTTCCCACCAAAGCACTTCTTTGGACTCAAGCACCTGCTGTTCAAGCCTCGCACCGTAACCCCTTCTCCTGTACCAACTCCCCGAGCTTCTGCTTTTCGCCCTTCTACAAACCTGACCAAATCAGTAATTCCTCATAATCACATCTGTAGCCCCTCTAGCCGTGCATCTCATTTCCCTTGGAAGGGTCCCCAAACCACAATTTCCATCATGGAATCCTATACACTAGCAAATTCCGCCCCTCTGGATACCTGCTACTATATGCCCGGGAACCCTTTTCAGCAACTACCTACTCCACCACAGCCTCCACCCCATCCGAAGCCACGTGCACCCCCACCTCTACGACCTTTAGCTGTATCTCGACTTCCTACTCCAAACCACCTTCAACTACAGCCAACGCAGATGAATCCTGCTCACTCCCAACAGAGGTCACCCCTCCCAGAGCGTTTGATTATATCACTAACTTCCTCACCACACCACGTCCTATCTCCTCACCTTGTATCTCTTAACATGAACCTCTTATTCCATGTCCTCTAAACAGCCCAGTTTAGACACCCGTTCCCTCTGTCCCTACGATTCGACCCTGAAGGCTCTACAAAACAGATCCACCCGCACTCTCGATGCCCCTGTCTTACCCTCTCGTTCCCTGTCTTTTATACACTTCTCCTGCCCTTCCATCCCGCATGACCTAAATCCCGCTGTTTCTGTCGAGCTACCATCCACGGTAACATTTCCTGACTACGTCGATTACATTATTACAAACGATTGCCCGACCTACCCTGTTACTCTTTGTCCATGGAGCTACTCCTCCGAAAATCAGTCTGTACCCTATACTGAGCCTGACCCAGTACATCCTACCGTGGGTTCAAACCTATTACAAAGACAATCTACCCATCTACATACAGTACTGAATACTCATCCCAGACTCCGGACCCTGATTCATATAACCTAACCACCGGGTACCTAGTCCCTCCAATGCAGATTCCCAGCGTGAGTGAGATTACAAATTTCCTACTTAGTACCACCTGATCGCCAATGAGCTTGTCAATAATGTTATTCAATGCCCGCTCATTACTGCCCAAAATCCATAATCTCCGAGCGACTGTGGCCATTGCACGACCAAGTATTATCCGTGTGCCTGAAACATGGCTCACAGATGAAACTCCCTGGCTATGACACCTACCGCTCCGATAGGAAAAACTCAAGGGCCGGTGGCTGTGCCATCTATTCCAAGTCAGATTTTCGTGCAACCCTATTTGACGAATCTTACCTGAAAGGGATTCCAGGGACCATTTGGGTATCCATAGTACAGACCAAACGACCGGTACTAGTAGGTTGTATTTATTTACCACCTGCCCCCTCCCCCGCCTCTAATGCTGATCTTTACCGTATCATTTCCACTGCGCATGCCCTTCCTCATTCATCTAAACTTCTGTTGGGTGACTTCAACTTGCCGGAAATCACCTGGTCCTCTGCCATTGGCCCCGCCCTTTACACCGCGCTGCTTGCGCAACTTTGTGTGGGGGGCTGGTCTCACATTGTACATAGTCCTACTCGTGGCTTACATGCTCTGGACCTAATATTCTCCAACGATGGCCATTTGGCCGAAGCTGTAGTTAGCCTACGCTTCCCAGGAAGTGACCGATGTGTTGTCTCTTGCAACGTAGTCAGTTATGGCCAAGCTGCTCCTCTGAGTCCATCCATGTTTCATCTCTTCTCACCCGATATTTTACAAGCTTTTTCGTCCACGTTTGCTTCGCAAGATTGGGATGACTTCTTCCTGTCGAGAAATACACAC